ATATAGCAAACATTAGTTGAATTCATTTGGATAATAGTAAGTACATTAATATGATCAGTGAAATAGCAATTTCAATTTTCAAGAACGCAACATAATATCTACTGATATCAGCAAGGGATGTGCGTGCTGGAGTACTTCTTAGAAAACAAAACTAGTTGCATGATTTGAAATAGACTGCTTGCCAATTTGTAGGAACTTCAATTGCAGTCCATTGCTTTAAGTAGAATTTTGCAATACAGGATTGTTTTTATTTGAATCAGGATAGTATAATCAACACTTTTCGATTATATATAAGTTTATGAAGATTTGATGGAGGAAAGAGTTGGCAAAGTGATGTTGGGTAACCATAAGCTGACTTCATCACATCATAAGGATTCTAAATACTACACCCTTAAAATTATGTAGGTAGTTATTATATTGGAATTCTGAAAAGGACTGAGTAGATTTTATTCAACGTAATATGTTATATAGTAATAATTTAGAGAAGGGGAAATATTAGATTAATTGTAGATACCATCTAATATGACCATGATTAAAAGTTTGTAAATAGAGATCTGAAGCTTAAGAACAAACTCAATCATTAATAGAATAGATTCCTGAAGTAATAATAGTTCTGACATTAGATAATTGTGATTGTTTTAGTGGTGGTATTCTATAAAGGATAATTGCCATGAGACAGCTTGAGTTCTCGAGCAACAGTATTGAAAACTGGTAGATCATTACCACTTCAAGACTTATAATCTGGAGTAAAATTATACAGTTTCTAGGGTTGTACATATATTAGATTCATATTTACAGATAAAACATTAAATAAAGTGCATATTTTTATTTGTTTATTGTATTTAATGAGTAAATTCTAAATATGGGAAAACTAAGTAGCACCAAATTGAATAAATAGAGACCAGCACATATATTTTTAGTAAGTTGTTTGATAATTTTTATACGCTATAGGATCGTATATAATCTTAAGTGTTTATTTTAGTTTAAAATGTAAATCAAAGGGACGATAATTCATTAAAAACATTTTGTAAAGTAGATATCATACATAATCAATCATATTGTTTATATTATATTGAGTCGGATCAAAACTGATGATGAATAAATAGATAAGGTTTTATAATATGAGTTTAGAATGCCTCTTTATAATAGGATCCATATTTTAAATAAGTTTAATATTTAGAATTGAATTTGATATGGAGTCAAATACAAAATATATTTTTTATTAAGATTTTTTGATCAATTTTATAGACCATAGGTTAGTATAAAATGAATTGACTTTAATTTTAGTTAAAAAGACAAATTAAAGGAACATTAAATTAATAAAATAATTTTATAAACTAAGTAAGAGTCTAATTAATTAGGATGAATGTTAAGTGGAGGTTTTTTAATCCAAATATAATTTTTTAGTTAATGTGATTTTAATTTTTAAGATCAATTTGAGTGATAGATTTGTTCATCATTAAGAGTATAATTACATTTTATATTTTATTTGAAATATCGTAATACAGTTTATATATATTAGTATATATAATATTTAAAATAACAAAGCCAAATTTAAAAATTAATATAGTTTAATAGAGTATTATATTTAGGCAAATATATTAGTTTTTATAAAATAGATCAATCACGTTTGCAATCGTAACTAAATATACCAACATTATAGATATACTAAAGAATTATAATTGAAATTAGGGATCGGTTTTTAAGACCTCTCTTCAAAATTTAATTAATTTAATTTATAGCTTTTGTATATTGTCCTATCATTGTATAGTAATAAAGCTGTAAAATAATGGTAATACACATAGTTTGTTTATAATCTTATAAGTTGTACAAATAATACTATAGGCCAATACCAAAGCCTCTATAGTTTACTCTAGTATTTTGTATAGCCAAATATACTATGTATAGTTTTAAGA